CATTTGTCACGGGTTTCTCCACCAGCAGGATGTCTTTATGTCGAGGTAGTGTGGTGGCACACGGTAAAGCGCTTGCCACATTATGTCACATTTGTAGGTCTTTCCTGTGTGGTATGTAAATTTCCCTATGTCCAGCGTACCATTAGAGCTGTGATTAAAAATTTGCCACAGTTCAGGTAAGTTTGAAGTTTATCTCCAGTATTGTCGTTGTCTTGTGTCTATTTACGATGTGTTGATGATTTGCTAAAGACTTTTATAGCTTTAATAGCATTTAAAGATTTTCTATGCAAGTAGACAACATTGGGTAAGATACACTCAAGAACACCTACTTTATGCTTCTTACACTGCAACCACACACTGGGCGAAAAAAAAAAAGAACAAACAGCAAAACAAAAAAAGGAATCTAAGCAAGAATCTGGACAGCAAAATAATCAGCGATACGTCTCCGAATATCTCTCATTTCTATAATAAAAGATAGATCTAAGTTCTACATTATATGAAGCACAAGCGAGCTATACACAATTAGTCTGTACATACACTATAGATGATACTGAGTGGATTCTATATTGACTGACCTCAGCGCTTAACCTAAGAATACAGCTCTAGTCGACAATATGAAAACAAGTTCTAGAAGAGAGAGAAATAACACAACAGATCCATCTCTTGATTCTACTACACACATAAGACTTTCAGGCTCATACTACACAAATTACGACCTATATATCGCCTACAAATCTTAACCACAATAAAGAAATTAAGGCTAAATTAGCTATAAATTACAAGCATTCAATAGAACTAGACAATAGAGATATACTTACTATATATCCAAATGCAATAAGGATAAGTAAACACAGAAATATAGACAATAAAAAAATATACTGACAACATAAAAACACACTCTGAATAAGACGATCTCAATCTAACTGTCAAGGAATAAGACTTCCTAAGAAATGTATATGCGAATTCAGATAGAGAGACTCAGATTAAACATTCCCTTTCCACAACGCAATGTCACGTGAATAATAAAAACAGCAACTCTTCCTCCGAAGTTTCAAAATATAATGGTTAGCCTTGCTAACGCAAGAAATAGATGTATCATATGATAAAAACAAACAGAACCCTATAACATGCCACCTACAAAAGCCTTCTTTTAGCTCTAAAAAGTCAAATTGGTTGAAAGTAAAAATTTACATAAATCTACATAAATATCTACATAAATAATAAGAGGGGGATCTACATAAATTATCTACATAAAAAATAAGAGGAGGATATTGTGGCAATAATTAAAGAAAATACACTTTAAGTCAAAAACCATCAGAAGAGACAAAGACTTTCATAATGAGAAAATGGGTCATTTAGGAGAAATCTATGGCACAGAATACACATAGACAGATGATATACATGTAATGTACATACTGTACCATAGATATTTTTAAATATATATTGTATATCAGTGCTTCTAAATATATTAAAAATATATGAACCAAAGTATGGACAGAAGTGTGGCAAGAAACACCTAGCAACACACTAGTTACAGGAGACTGCAAGACCTCACTTTCAATGATGAATAGAAAAATTTGACAGAAGATAAATAAGAAAACAGATAATGGGAAAAACATTATAGACCAGTAAGATGTAAAAGACATTTACAGAGCTCTTCAGTCAAAAGCAGCAGAATACACTATGGTTTCATCATACATGATAAATGGTGTTAGGACACTTAAGTCTTATCAAGTTGAAGAAACCTAAAAACATACAACTTTTGACAAAAACATACCTTTTAACAAAAATGAAGTGGAACTAGAACTCAAAAGCAATACAGAAACTGGCTAATACAAAAATATGTCAAAATTAAACACTCTTAAATGCATTCATGCTCAATGGTCAGATGTTTTAAAATTGTTAAGATGTCAAAACTATCTACAGTGATATACAAATTTAATTCAATGTCTATAATAGTCCTATCATACTTGTTTTGAAGATATATAAAAATAAATTCTAAAGTGTCTTGGAACAATAAATAGCCAGACTGTTTTAGATATACAAACAGGAGGCATAGCACTTCTTGATTTGAAAACAAATCAGCAGGAATAAAAAAATGTGCTACTGGCACAAAGACAAATAATGAGATGAAACAAAAGAACACAGAACTCAGAAATAAACCTTGTGTGCATGACCAAACATAGGTTCCTCAAGATTGCAATGACCATGCAATGAAAAAGAAGAGTCACTTCAATAAATTTGGTAGAAAACTGAATATTTATGAGAGGAAAAAAATGATGTTGGTACCTTCCCTTGCACTATAGAGAATATATCTTAAATAAATTAAATATTAAAACATAAGAAATACATGTATAAAAGTCTTAGAGAAAATATAAGAGAAACATCATGGTATTGGTCCTGGTACTGTTTTAGTAGATGTAACATCAAATAGATAATCAAGAAAAAGGAGAAGAAAAATGGGATTGTATCACACTTCAAATTTTCTGCACAAAGGAAAAACTTAGTGGACTAAAAATGCCTCCTGCAAAATGGGTAAAAATAGATGCAAATCACATATTTGATAGAAGTTAACATTGTGAATAAATGAACAATGATTAAAATTCAAAAACAAAGATGAATAACTTGACTAACAAATGGACAATAGATTGATCTGGCATTTCTGCAAAGAAGATATACTAATGGCCAAACATAATTTGAAATTGTTAATCTTTAGAGAAATGCAAAACAAAATCACAATAGTATATCACATCACATCCATTACATTGGGAACTTTTAAATAAATAAAAGCATATGCAGATACATACATATGGTGAGAATGTAGAGAAATTGAAATGCTGCTATGTCATTCTGAACCTTTGATTCTAAAAATCATAAAAATTGAACAGATCAAAAATTTAAAATATATAAAGAGAGCAAAGCAGCTATATGGTGGGAGGGGAAGGATACACTTGTTTTATTTTACTTTTTCCCAAAGACCAACAAAAATTTTGCAGCCATCCATGGAAAATCACAATTATCTGAATTTGGGGACTTAAATGGAAGGTCGTTAAACTCTAGTGGAACAATAGATCTGGGAGGGTCATTTAGAATATTCAGGCTCT